ATGTGGGATCTTCCCGGACCGGGGCACGAACCCGTGTCCCCTGCATCGGCAGGCGGACTCTCAACCACTGCGCCACCAGGGAAGCCCAACAACAACTTTTACATGCAGTAGGAAACCAAAAAGTTTGTGTGACTCACTTTTTGGTGATATTCATTTCATTGTTGTGGTCTGAAACCAAACGTGCAGGATCTCTGAGGGGGGCTGTGTGCACGCGTGTGTGCGCGCGCGTGTGTATGTATTTTTGTTAAACTACCCGCATCCAAAGCCTTCTCATTTGGAGGGCGTCTCCCAGCATGCAGGTCTTTATGGGAGGCAAGGCCTATAATCCAGGCTTGGAAAAATCAAATGCCCCTATCCAGGGTTTTGAATCTTCATGAAATGTTCCAAAGCCATGGGCAGCTGGCAGACAGTTCCATGGTGGTGACCTGGGCAGCAGCTTCCTAACCAGACCCTTCCTGAGGTATAAGCTTGGCTGTCACCCAGCCTTCTCAGATCTTCCCCAATTTCTGAATATCTTTCCCCCGGCTTCTAGTTAATCCTGCAAATTCCCGTAAATTCCGTTCTGCTTAAGTTTTTGTCTCAAATCTTTGACTACTGCAGTAAGTTTGGAAAGACATAAAAAGCTATGAACGTCAAGAGCGGTGTTTCTCAAATTGAGGATCTTGTTAAAAATGTCATTTTTATTCAGGAGGTCTGGGTAGGGCTTGAAACTCTGCATTTCTAACTAGCTCCCGGGTGATGTTGATAATGCCGGTCCACAGACCACACTTTGGGTGTTGAGAACAGCACTGAACGTGGGCCTTCCCTGGTGGTCCAGTGGTAAAGAATCTGCCTTCCAATGTAGGGGATGCGGGTTCGATCCCCGGTCAGAGAGCTAAGATCCCACATGCTGAAGGGCAACTAAGCCTGTGCGCCACAAGTACTGAGCCCGCACGCCTCAACTAGAGAGCCCATGTGCCACCAACTACAGAGCCCATGTGCTCTGGAGCCCTCGCACCACAACTAGAGAGAAGCCCACCCACTGCAACAAAAAATCCCACGTGCCACAACTAAGACCCAACACGGCCAAAAAAATAAAGAAAATAAATAAATGTTTTTTTAAAAAAAAGAAGCACTGAATGCTTGTAGACAAGTGGCTGGAAAGTAGAGAGAGAAAGATCAAGAAGGTTCAACGCTGTCTAATGGAGTTTGGACTTCATCCTGCAGGTAATAAGCAGCCATGAAAGGATCCAGGGGGAGTGAAATGAATAGATTTCCATTTTTCAAAGGCTTGTCGAAGTGATGTAGACAACAGAGCATGAGATGAGGGACGGGAGGTGGAGAAACCAGTTAGCGGTATGGCAGGCAGCATAACCACCCCTGCCCCCAAAATGGCCTCGCCCTAATCCCCAGAACCTGTGAGTATATTGCATTATAAGACACATGGGACTTTGCAGTTATTAAGTTAAGGACTTTCAGATGGGAAGATTATCCTGGATTATCCAGGCAGACCCGATGTATTCACATGATCCTTACAAGTGGAGAACCTTTCCTGGCTGCGGTCAGAGAGAGACAGGATTACCGAAGAACGGTGGGAGACGCAATGCTGCTGGTTCTGAAGATGGAGAAGGAGGCCCGAGCCGAGGAATGCAGGGGGCCTCCAGGAACTGGAAAGGGCGAGGAAATGGACTCTCCCCTACAGCCTCCAAAAGGAGGCTTGATTCCAACCCAGTGAGACCCATCCAACCTCTGACCTCCAGAACTGTGAGATAATACATGTGTGGGTTTTTTGTGTTTTTTGGGGGGGCTGCATCGTGCAGCTTGTGGGATCTTAGATCCCCGACCAGGGAATGAACCTGTGCCTCCTGCAGTGGAAGCCTGGAGTTCTAACCACTGGACCACCAGGGAAGTCCCGCATTTGTGTTCTTTTAAGCCACTAAATTCATGGTAATTTGTTACCGTGGCAATAAAAGAATCGAATACAGGAGGCCACTGTGACATTCCAGGGAACGACGATGACAGCCTCATTGAAGAGAGAGGCAGCACAGAAGGAGAGACCTGGTTTGAAAGATTTTAAGGAGGATACAGAGGAAGGGTCATGGTCACCACCTGGGCATCTGGGTGGGGATGGGTGGTGAGGAAAGGACAGGAGTTAAAGGAAGTTTCCAGGTTTTTCTCTTGGACAAACGGGTCTGTTGGTCAAAAGGAGGGAAAGAAGTGAGTGCGAATGCGTGTGGGAGAAAGCATGTGAGCATGCATGCGAGTGTGTGAGTTGAGCGCATGTGAAAAAGTGCAGGAAAAGGAGGCAGGTCTCCCGTAATACCACTGGGTGCCTTGCTTCCAGTTCCATTTTTACTGAGAAACTGTCTAATCTTAGCTCTCAAGCTTTCCCTCCTGGGCAAAGCACGTGCTCACCGCCAACACAAACAGCTGCTCTGCTCGTCCGTTATATTTTTCAGTTTAAATTAATGATTGCCGTTCTAGGCATAAACCAGGCTCCTGTTGAGTTTAGATAGAGCAAAACAATTCACCAGGGTTTGCTCTCTCCCGGATGAGCGGACAGCGTTGAGTTTCTACCCCTGCAAATCCGAGGATCAGACCTTGAACTGCGGTGACCCCTGCTCTGCTTCCTTTCCTGGCACAGCATCCCCCCTCCCCAGGCTGGAAGCAGTCGGGGAAAGGGAGACCTGGAGGAGGCTGCCCAGTGCTTTCCCCTGGGCCGAGTCCATTAGGAATCATGAGGTTCTGTGCTTGCAACTTAACAGCTATTTATAGTTCACACTCTGAGATGCGTTCACAGACACATACTGGGGACCCAGCCTCCACAGGAGAACACGCCCCGTCTGGATCCTCTGCATATCCTGCTTCGTAGCAAACGCAAGCCGGGCAAGCAGTTCTAGGAAACTCAGAGAGTGGGTGTAGGCAGCTCTGGTTGAGCTGACCTGGAGGTGGCTGGTTTCATCCTAAGGACATCCTGGGAACGCTGAGAACTTGCAAACCTGCTCTGAATGATGTCTTTGCCTGTGCCTAACTTGCCAAGTGACCTCCTCTGAGTAAAAGCGGAGCAAAGACCCTTTGTCCCTCACAACACTAGGCGCTGGGATTGCTGATATCCCCCACTGCTCAGATGAGGAAACTGAGGCTCCTGGAAGTTAAGATTCTTGTCAAGCATGGTGCCAATCCGACGTCAGAGCCAGGACCTGACTTCAGTCTCTTGATGACAAAATCTGTATCTTTTGTACTTCGACCTGGGATACTGTCCCCCCTGGGGAGGGACACTCCTCCCTCCCCAGCCACCCCCCACAGGCCTTCTTCAATCAAGGTGTGGTCTGATGGTTCTCCTGCCCAGAGGTGCCCAGCACATTTAGGGCTGTGACTGGGGCACCCGAATCACCCAACAGTAATACAATCCTCCAACCAGTAAGTACTCCTAATCCCCTGCCCGTGTGTTCAGCCCTCTGCGAGGTGCAGTGGGAAACAGTCATAGGACGATGGTGACTCTTGCCCTCTAAAAGCTTATAAAGCAACAGGGCTTACACAGTGGGGTGTTCAACTCACAGAACCGGCATGGGGATCAGAATTGCTAGGCAGGGTCTGCTGGGCTTTAGGACCTGTGCTCCTGCCTCCAGTGCCACACTGTCTCCCAGTAACGCTGCTTTCCAGTCCAGACAAGGAAACTGAGGCTCAGAGAGGTGAAGTCACCCTTCCAAGGCCATAGAGCGGCCTGTGGCCACTGGGGGCCTCCGATTCCAGGTGCCATTTCCTCTTGCCAAGTCTCCCCGCTGTGCTCACTTCCACACTCTAGTTCTAAAGAGGAGGTCTAGCCGGGAGAGGACGCCTGGGTCACACCCAGCAGGTCGCCGTACTGCCCTGCTTCCCAGTACCCACCAAAGAGGGCGTCTGCGCCACCCCCCCGCCCCGCACTTCACGCCCAGCTTCCCCCATCTAACCCCATCACCACCACCACCCCGCCCCCCAAAAGTGCTACTTACATATTCTTTAATGTCCTTCGATTTCACAGCCTTGTAGGAAGAATAGGCAGGGTAAAGGGTGCCAAATATTAGCCTGGAGGGGAGAGAGAGGGGAAAAAAGAGCAACGTGATTTTCATTCATCCTATTTGATGGAAAATGTCATCTTCGATGCAAGGAGCATCCTCCAAGCTACAGAAAATGCTGCTGTGAGGCTTGGTTAATTTTTCTGAATGCCCTGAAGGTTTTCTGCTCATGGCTGGGACGCGCTTAGGAACCTCTACGTCCTGTTACAGATCCACACCGACCTCCTTCAATCTGTCATTTGGCAACACAGCAGGGTGGTTTGAGGTCATGAAGCCAAAAATGGGGCCATCCTCTGGAAAGGCCGAAATTATATCTGGGGAACAAGATAAGACAGCTAAGGGGACAAACGAGTAGTCTGAAAGGAAGCAAGAAATTTAAGAAAGAGAGGGATGGCCACAGCGCCAAAGATACAGGCAGCTTGGGGAAGCCCACTGGATTCCGTCACAAGCCAGCTCAGAGAGGGGGGTCTCCCCAACACCCCCGTGCTGTCCCGCCCCCTAAGCAGTATTCTCAGATACCAGGGAGAATCTTCCTTCCTCTGTGAGCCTTTCCTGACCTCAGCACCCCCTGAAGATTAGGTTCCTCTCCCGTTCGTTACTGCCACTCCCTAGATAGTCCCCTTTCTTAGCCCTTATCCACACCACGTGCAATGGTTTATTCAATGTCTGTCTCTCCCACAAGCCTTTTAAGTTCCACAAAGTCGAGGATGGGGTCTATCTCGCTCATGGAACCACACCCCCTGGGGCTGGTAAGTGCTCAGGAAATATACGTTCATTCTGGGAAGTTTCAGTGAGTGGTGAAGCAAAGGCCAGAGCCACCCAGGGGACACTCGTGACCTTGGGACTGAGGTCTCAGCAGCAAGGGGATGCCAGACAGCACCGGTCTGATTCAGTAAAGCCTCGGGCACAACACCACAGGCTCCAGAGAAATAAACACACCGTCCTTTGGCACAGATGCCCTGCTTATTAGCCACATCTGCCAGGGTGGTGTCCAGCCCCTGCCCTGAGGCAGCGTGTGAGCAGCAGAAGAGACAGGTGGAAAATGCATCTCGACCCAATGGCCCGCAGATCTGCTCCCCTGTGAACACCGATGGCCAACACCACCTCCTGAGCGGTCACAGAGGTGGGAAGCACGGGCACCCAGACAAGGGAGGCCAGTACTCCGTGCGTCTGCTGGACTCGCATGTGAAGTGGCTGCCAGCATCCCCCCCACCTGGTTCCCTCTGGACAGCACAGGGACAGCAAGACGAATTTGCTTTCCAGTCTCTAAAAGCTCTGAAACACTGACATGTAAGGGAGCGGACTCAGTATTTCACTGCCCAGGGGAGGGAGAATGGGATGAAAATGGCGAGTTCTTCTAAATCTATTTTGGAGAAAAGAAGTAACAAATGAAGCAGGCCCAAGCCAAAGGGGCTTGGGACTTATGTCCATTCAGACTGAGTCCCCCTGACAAGGCCCTTCTCCTTCCTGGCCTCCCGGACCCTCCTCCCTCAGCTCCGGACCCTAAGGCCAGCAGCTGTCCCCCAGTGAGCCGGGCTCAGAAGCTCACAATCTGTGACTTCCTGCTGTCTCCCGCTTCTGCCTGAATTTTAGTGCATGATCTCCCCACAACCCTTTTATTCCCCCCTGTTAAAGTCTCACTAATCCTTTAAGACCCATCTCAAAAGAGCCACTTCTGTGTGTCTTTGATCACTTGTCCCTCAGAATTTTCCTGACACTTGTTACGTCTATTACAGTCCTTATGTAGTAGTTGTAATTTAAAAAAAAATTTAAAATAATGCTATTAATATCACTGAGTCCTCACTAATGCCAGGCACTGCTCTACAGCCTGTATATTCTCTCAACACCCATACGGGATAAGAATTCTTACTACTCCATTTTACAGACTAGGTACTAGGACACTGAGGCCCAAAGAGACGCAACAGCCAGGAGCCGAGCTGGGATGTGACCTGGGTAGCCTGACGACAGGCTTACTGTCTTCTCCCAGGGCTGCCTGGGCTGGTTGAGCCAGACCATCCAGGCCTGGGTGATCAGTGGGGTCCCTAGCACCTCACACAGCCCTTGCCCAAGTGGGTGCCGGACACGTGTCTGATGAGTGAATAAATGTCAAACGATTGCAGTCTCTCTCCAAGGAACCAGCCCACTTGAGAGATTCACATGACTCTCTCTACAAGGTCAAGAGGAAAGCTGGTAAAATTCTTAGAAAGAGCTAATGCTGCTTAAGAGCTCAAGGTCGGCTCAGGAGCGGGAAGGGAAGGCTTGAGTGCCATTCTCTAGAGGGGAGACGGGGCTCTGTGCTAACACACTCCTCCCAGCTTTCTGTGAACGGAGCCTTGCCCGGCGCCTCAGAGCTGCAGAGCTCTGCACCCACCCTCCCTCTGCCCACTGCCATTTACTGCTACCCAGAAGGCCCCTCCCCAACTTACTGCCTCCATCTATCTGCCTGCTGCGTTCCTCCTATCTGTGCCCTAATTCCTCCTCCTGCTCCAAATTAGGGGCCTTCAGCCGGGTTGCCTCTCCTACCTCCTCCACAGCTGCAGTGGAGGGACCATGAGCCTCATGTGAATTCTACCCTCTAAGGCAGTGGTTCCCAACTGGGGGTGATTTAGCTGCCTGGGGGACATGTGGGCAATGTCTGGAAACTGGTTGTCACAGCTGAGAGAAAGCTATTGGTATCTAGTGGGTGGAGGCCAGGGATGCTGCTAAACACACTACAACATACAGGACAGCCCCAGTAAAGCATGATTTAGTCCACAGCATCGGAAGTGCTGAGGCGGAGAAATCCTGGTCTAGTGTGATGTTTCCCGGTCCTTGGGTCCTGGACCCTTCACCCAACCATCACGGGCAACCTGCCCCAAGAGTTGTTTTTTTTTTTTTTTTTTAATCTGGGGTATTTTTTTTTTATACAATCAATTTCTTTTTTCTACCCTGACGAGATTTTTTTTTTTCAGTACGCGGGCCTCTCACTGTTGTGGCCTCTCCCGTTGCAGAGCACAGGCTCGGGACGCGCAGGCTCAGCGGCCATGGCTCACGGGCCCAGCCGCTCCGCGGCATGTGGGATCTTCCCGGACTGGGGCACAAACCCGTGTCCCCTGCATCGGCAGGCGGACTCTCAACCACTGCGCCACCAGGGAAGCCCAAACTACTTATCAACTTATGACCAAGGAACAGAGGTACTGCTCACGGGAATTAACGGTTAACTGTGGCACCAGTTATAGTCACCGAGAAGGACTGCCCACCACTTCCCGGAGCCTGGAGTGACTGCAGGGGAGCAACTGTTGGCCTAGGGCTCGGCTACAAGCTGTGGCACCACCGTTACCAACTGGGGCCAAGGCTTTTGTAAACCATGAAACGACAGTATCTTCCACAGTCTTCTCAGGCATCTTAGTGTTGGGCCAACAATTCCCAATGCCAAGTTATCTTGAAAATTTAAAAAAATCAATACTAGCAATATTTTTTTTTCTGAAATTAATTTTTAAATGAAAACAACAGGCCTATTTGTACAGTTGTTCATGTTATGATAAACCAAACTGAATTTAAGAAGTGGTACACCATAAGAGCAGAAAGTAAGATCTACCCCAGCTTGGAGAGGTCTCTGTGGTGTAGTGAATAGGGTATGGGGCTTCGAGGTTGTCTGACAGACTGAATTCAAATTACGGCTCATGCTATGGCAACATGGTGATTTGGCATAGGTTTTAAGCTCTCTCAGTCTCAATCTCAATTTCTTTATGTGTAAAAAGGGGAAAAACAATAACTATATCATGGTTTGCTGTATGGATTAAATGAGCCTGAAGAAAAAAAAAAAGAAAAAAAAGAAATGGTACACCACACAGGGGCTTTCAGAATACTGAATTTCTTGACCTGGATGGTAGTTATGCAGAGTTTTGCTTTATAATCACAAATGTATATTAAACTGTACACAGGGCTTCCCTGGTGGCGCAGTGGTTGAGAGTCTGCCTGCCGATGCAGGGGACACGGGTTCGTGCCCCGGTCCGGGAAGATCCCACATGCCGCAGAGCGGCTGCGCCCATGAGCCATGGCCGCTGAGCCTGCACGTCGGAGCCTGTGCTCCGCAACGGGAGAGGCCACAACAATGAGAGGCCCGCGTACTGCAAAACAAAACAAAACAAAACTGTACACATATGTTCTATGTACTTTTCTGTATGTACATGTTATATATAATTTTTATTAAATAATGTGCCATATTAAAAAAAAGAATTTTCTAACAAATGCTGGAGAGGGTGTGGAGGAAAGGGAGCCCTCCTGCACTGTTGGTGGGAATGTGAATTGGTGCAGCCACTATGGAGAACAGTATAGAGGTTCCTCAAAAAACTAAAAATAGAGTTGCCATATGATCCAACAATCCCACTCCTATGCATATATCTGGACAAAACTACAATTCGAAAAGTTACACGCACGCCTATGTTCATAGCAGCACTATTTACAATAGCCAAGACATGGAAGCAACCTAAATGTTCATTGACAGATGAATGGATAAAGAAGATGTGGCACATATATGCAATGGAATACTACTCAGCCATAAAAAAGAATGAAATAATGCCATTTGCAACAGCATGGATGGACCTAAAGGTTATCATACTAAGTGAAGTAAGTCCGAAAAAGAAAAACAAATACCGTATTATATCACTTGTATGTGGAATCTAAAATAAGACACAAATGAACTTATTTACAAAACAGAAATGACTCACAGTCATAGAGAACAGACTTGTGGTTGCCAAGGAGGAGAGGAGGTAGGGGAGGGATGGACTGGGAGCTTAGGATTAGTAGACGCAAACTATTATAATATATATAGAACGGATAAACAACAAGGTCCTACTGCATAGCACAGGGCACTACGTTCAATATCCTGGGATAAACCATAATGGAAAAGAATATGAAAAAGTATATATATATATAATACACAT